GCCCAGGCGGGTCTCGAACCCTTGGGCTCAGGCAATCTACTCACCTCAACCTCCCAAAGGCGCGGGATTACAGGCTGAGCCACCGAGCCCGGCTTCTTACTTGTTTTAGAATAAGCATGTTCCCGATGCCCTAAGACAGCTCTAATTTTAGGAGATAGTTGACCTCTGTCTTCAAGTCCCAGTTTCTTTTTGATATTTTAAACCTTCCCTCACCAGGCATGGTGGCTTACACCTATAATCCCAGCACTTTGGGAGGTGGAGGTGAGAGAATTGCCTGAGCCCAGGGTTTTGAGACCAGTCTGGGATTTGGCAAGACCTCATCTCTACAGTAAATCAAAAAATTAGCTGGATGTGATGGCACGCACCTGTAGTTCCAGCTACTTGGAAGGCTAAGGGGGAAGGATCACCCACCAGAGTCCAGCAGGTCGAGGCTGCAGTGGCCATGAACATGTCACTGCACTCCAGCCTGGGCGACAGAGTGAGATTCCAACTCAAAAAAAGAGAGAGACCCTGTCTCTACAATAAATAAAAAATAAATAAATAAATCTTCCCTCTTTACATTGTAGTTGCATTGTCTTTTAAGCACATGCACTGAGATCCCTGACTTATTATACTATAGAGAAATGGCTTATTGAATATTAAAGACAGAAATGTAATAAAGCAATAATTGCTCAAAAGAGACGGAAAGAAATTGACATTTTCACTTTTAGGTTAATCCGTATAAAAAGACTAAAATGTTCTAACATCATGATCCATGAGGAACAAGTTTTCACTGGACATTTATTTTTCCATCTTCACTTTTCAAAGTAGCCCAAACAGTAGCTAGGACTATAGGCATGTGCCATCATGCATGGCTAATTTATTTTTATTTTTCTGTAGCGATGAGGTCATGCTACATTCTCTAAGCTGGTCTCAAAATCCCGGGCTCAAGCAATCTTCTAACCTCAGCTCTCAAAGTGCTGGATTATAGGTGTGAGCCATCACGCAGTCCAAAGACAGTTTTCTTTGTTTTTTTTTAACTTTTAATTTTTTTTTTTTTTTGAGTTGGAGTCTCACTCTGTCACCCAGACTGGAGTGCAGTGGCCACTCCCGGCCACCGCAGCCTCAACCTGCTGGGCTCCGGCGATCCTTCCGCCTCAGCCTTCCGAGTAGCCGGAATTACAGGCAAGCGCTACCACGCCCGGCTGATTTTTTGATTTATTGTAGAGATGAGGTCTCGCCTGCCCAGGCGGGTCTCTAACCCGTGGGCTCAGGCAATCCACTCACCTCAGCCTCCCAAAGGCGCGGGATTACAGGCTGAGCCACCGAGCCCGGCACTTTTAATTTTTTTATTCTAAAAATGTGGGGTACAATTCAGAGTCAGGTATACAAATGTTCATTATGCAGTTACCCTTGTTGATGAGATGCAAAGACAGTTTTCTAATCCAGCCCTGCTTGGGTCAAATATAAACTTCTTGTCCAGTGAGCTTAGTTGGAGATGGGACTGCACCTAACCTCCTCAACCTCTTAGTGTAGGCTCTGATAGCAGCCTTTGTTATGCACTGAACAGAGCAGTGAGATCTGCTGCAAAGGTGGGGTTCACAGTCAGTGATGCAGCCAGAAATTGAGGCCTAATGAAGACCTGACTATGGTAGAAGAAGAGGCCTGAAGATGGTCCTAATACATAGTCTGTTCATTCTTTGTCAACTGAATTTTTATTTTTTTTATTTTTTTTGAGTTGGAGTCTCACTCTGTCGCCCAGACTGGAGTG